CTTTGTGTATGATTGTTGTAAGCCTAAGCCTGAGCCTGAGCCTAACCTAAGCTGAACCTAAGCGAAGCGGAGGTCTAGCTTGAAGACTAACTTAAGCCTATGTCTAAGCCTAAGCGTAAGCGTAAGCCTAGGCCTGAGTTCAAGCCTAAGCCCAATACCAACCTCAGACAAAGCTAAACTTAAGCCTAACCGCGGGCCAAGCCAAGCCCACGCCTAAGCCTAGCCTAAGCGCGGTTGGCAGCCGCCTGATCGAGAAATCGTCTGATCGAAAATAACTTAAAAAATTTAGGGTTTTTCTAGGCTTCGAACATGTGTTAAAACTACTTTTTGAGTTATTATCGATTAGACAATTTTCGATTAGGCGATTTTTCGATCGGGTGACCGGGAATCAGCTTGCCCAACTCGGTTTTATTTATTTTAGTAAGAAACCTTTGCTGTCTTGCCCTTCCTCAAAGATCTCTGCCAGATTGCCCAAGAATCAGCTTTCGCAAAGTGTCACTGCTAGCCTGCCGGTGATGATTGCATTTTCCGTAAATGATCTCTGCCAGCTTACCCTACCCTTCCTGTGCTATGTTACTAACGGCCTGGGTGTCAGGGCCGTTTTGGGGTTTGGGAGGTTGGGGTTTTTGGGGTTTGGGAGGTTGGGGTTTTTGGGGTTTGGGAGGTTGGGGTTTTTGGGGTTTGGGAGGTTGGGGTTTTTTTTGGGGGGAAGGGGAGGGGGAGGGGGCCGGGGGCCGGGGCCAGGGGTAAAGCATTGCATGCCGGGGGTCTGGGCCACAATGCAAAAATTGGAGGGAAATTTGCCTTTTTTTGGCCACCACGTGTATGGGCCAGGCTTTTTCGTAAGTGCCGCGCCTGTGGCTGCAGCCTTACCAACCGGTTGCTTAGGCATTTGGACTACGTAGAACACGTAGCCAAGCCAGTATTTCATACTGCAAAGCCGAAAGCTTTTCAAGCAGTTCAGAAGCCGCAGCTTTTCTCTAGGCATTAAGGGGAGCCATCCACCCATTTTCAGGCATTAAGGGGAGCCCTGACACCCATTGGTCAGAAGGTCGGGGTGAACCGACTGACGAATTGAGGTGGAGAGGGTTGGACTATCTGTCCATACAGTGGGCCAGGTGGGGGGCGAGTGGGAAGGCACGGCGGCGCCCGGTTCAATTACCCAAGTTTGCGGTTAATTACCCCATTTTCTTATGCCTAAGCCATGCCCAAGCATAAGCATAATTTTTCTGAATGGCCCTGGGTCTCAGCTACTATCCCCTGGCCGGGAATTGCGAAAAAATCAATATTAAAATTTATACAATTAAAATAGTGTTTGAGCGGTTATTCGGATTTTGCTTGTTTTTGCCATAACTATTTCATTTAAAATATTTTGAGTTGTAATCAAAACTCTTAGTATATTTTTTCCGCTCTATCGGGTGGCGTTAAAGAAATGTTGTGAAAATGTTGCAAACTAGCTTTTTAAACCCATTTTTAGAGTTTTTTGTTTGTTTTTGCTATAGCTATTTTATATTACAATATTTAGGGCTGCCATAAAAACTCTTACTAGGGGAGCCCGAATAAACCCGGACTCAGAATTGGCTGAAAACATGCAAAGAAAGCGAATCGTCATCGAGCTCGCAGTTTGACGATTGTCACTAAAAGATCGTTTTAAAAGTGGCATATCTCGCGTTTTCAAGAGCCGTAGCAAATCCGGAAAATGAGGTGATGATCAGCGTGATCGATTCTATCTGTGTGCAAATTTTCATCAAATTCTGAGTCCGGGTTTATTCGGGCTTCCCTAGTCGCGGAATCTTTTTTGCTGCTCTATCGAATGGCGTTCAAAAAATCCCGAAAAAATGGCATAAATATTGAAAACTTTGGGGCAAAGTAAACCGCAGCCAAAATTGGTTCGCTGGAAAGGGTTTTTTGCGCAGTTCACTCGATCTAACGGTCCTCCGCTTCAAGTTTTGGCTTTTAAACTTATATCAGGTTGGACCGAAAGTAATTACAATTTTTCGGACGCAAAAAATTTATGGAAGCAGCCATGCTATCTTTTCCATATTTTAGCATGATTGAGGGTCAGGTATGAACTTCCTGCACACCCGATTTCAACTTCCATCTTTTGCTACTTTTGAAGTTATGAGGCAAATACGCTGCGCAGTGTAATATTCGCCCAGTTTAGATTTCGTAAAAATTTTGTCCGCCAATGAGGCCACAGTTGCTTGAATAATTAATAGCAAATGGAGCAGCAGTAGTACTATACAATGTATCGAACAAAATTTAAATAGGTGGCCTCATACCTTTTTCCTGACCGATTTAGAAAGATGTCAAATTGGGGTTTCGGGCCCCAAAATGACAAATCCCTTCGTCGGCCGTTTTCTCCGAGTCTGGTGGCTAGTTTTTGAAGAGGTTTGTATTGATATCTAGCTTGGTTATCACTGATTCAAACGCGTATATTGCCTAGGGACAAATCTTTTATACTGGGCCGCAGAAGATATCAACCTTTGATTTTCCTACACAATTTTGTTTTGGTATTCTCAAATTGAACTAATGGGTTTGGGACAATGATAATTTCAGTACCTTATCTACTGTTGCTGTGTATTTGCCCTGTTTTGTCGAAAAAATTTGATCAGCAAGGATTAAAAAAATAACCGAAATTGAATGACAATGCCATTTCCCGTGTCGGTTACTCGGCGTTACATTAGGTTGCAAAATTTTGTCCCGTGAAAGCAGGGCGGCTTGATAAATGGTGTCGTCACAGTGTTCGCAACTAAATGTTTTTCAAAATAGGTGGAGCGTTTCTACATTCGCGGTCGTCATTGAATTGATAAGCCCCTTTTCATCAGACTCATCCGGAATCGGGATTTTGTTCCACCCTAGAGACAATAACGACTGGCTCTACAGTTGTTTGACGAATTGGGCACCATAGTTAGAAAGATAAGATACTGGCACTCTAAACCGCCAATTATGCTGGGAGGATTCTGTCATTAGAAATTTTCATATGGCTCGAAGAGCAGAGGGCTCGCGGATGTCGCCGCGTCGGGTCAACTAGCGTCTCAGGGAGAAGCGGTCATAGAAAAATAAATATAGGCTAGATGGACTAAATATTTTTATGCGCCATAGTAGCCTCTTAGACGGAATTATGCGTGTAAAAATCCCGGCGGCCTGGTGGTAAACTTTTTTACAAAACCGTCTTGAAGATCGATTGTAAAGACTTTCGGTCCAGCCTGATAGTAGGGATAGCTGATGACGTTCCGGATGCGTGTTGAAATTTTCAAAAAAATCGAAGGAAATACAACCATTTTAGGGGCTTTTCGAGAAATGCTCCCCGGGCCCCGAAACGCCCCCCACCTGGCCCACTCCATGGTAGGGGGGTATTTAAGAAAGATTGGCCACACCCTCGCCCGCGCATGTGTCCTCCCCGAGTCACCGACAAGCCTGAGAGCGGTTGATGAGGGGTACGGCATCCCGGAATCAGGAGACTATTCCAGGTCCTTTCTTCTACCCAAAGGAAGGGATGCGCCGCTCATCTATGTCCCACAACAGCAGCTGGCTTGTCCCGACCACCTATGCGTAGGGGTGCGTGTATATCGGTCGGGCGGGCGTAAGCTGTGTAAGGCGCTCCGGTACGGCTGTTCTCACAGTCGGGAACTCTTCTGTCCGATTCTCAGACCACCCACCCTTGAGGTGACGTGCGAGGGATAGGGCAGGCCGGTGATGCAAGGTAAGCACCAGTCGTCTCCTGTGGCCACGGGAACTTCACGAGTCAGCAAGGCGGGCGTGAATAGAGTTTTGCCCATTCATCCTAGACCAGTTTTTTGTGCTGCGCCCGAATTTCGGGTCCGTTTTGCGCGGGTAGCTATCGTTTTTGAGATACCCGCCCCCAATCCCGACCTATAGAGTTGTGAAATATGCCAAGCCTACTGTTCTAATTTAAGCCAATTCTCACGGCCTAACCAAAGCCAAGCCAAAACCCAAGTCTTTGCCCATTCCTTGGCCTGCCTAAGTTTAAGCCGAAGCCGACGCCCAGCTTAGCTCTGAGTATAAGCCTAAGCCCTATCCTAAGCGTAAGCCCAAGCCATTCCAGATTCTACTCTCGCTACACTACAATACCCAAGCCTCCGCTCTGGACGTGACGATACACAAGGCGCGCGGCCTTCCGCATTTCGCAGGCAATAAGCCGAACCCGTATGTCAAGGTGGGTGCAACGGATCTCTGCTAGCCCGCCCTTTCCTCAAGAACCTCTGCTAGCCGGCCCTTTCCTCAGAACCTTTGCTAGTCTGCCCTCAATTCCAGATCTCGCTCCTCTCCGAGAATGGGCACTCCGAGGTGGCCAAGCTGAAGACGGCCTGCAAGAAGGGGACGTCAGAGCCGACGTTTTCCGAGACAAAACGCGTAGGTTTCAACTTTTCCTAAAGAATCTCTGCTAGCCTGCCCTTTCCTAAAGAATCTCTGCTTGCCTGCCCCTTCCTAAAGAATCTCTGCTAGCCTGCGCTTTCCTAAACAATCTCTGCTAGCCTGCGCTTTCCTAAAGAATCTCTGCTAGCCTGCCCTTTCCTAAAGAATATCGGCTAGCCTGCCATTTCCAGCTCCCATCCATGACCCGTTCCGAGGTGGAGCACCACGTCCTCCGGGTCTCCGTCTGGCACCGCGACTTCTTCTCCCACAAGGGCCTTCTCGGCGAGACCCGAATCGCCCTGCCCCACTTCCCCTGGCACGACGCCTCCAACCCGAACGGGCAATGGGTCTCGTTGCGGGGGGTTACGGTAGGTTTTTAGCGACGGCTTAGAGTGCTTAGGCTTAGGCTTAGGCTTTTGTTTGGGCTTAGGCTCAGGCTCAAGCCGCTTGGGCTTAAGCAGCTCAGGCTAGGCCTTGAAACCAGCACCAGCCATCCTAATAGCCCGAATTTAGGATGAGAACGAGCCGCTGGAGAAGCGGACGATAGTCGCCAAGGTGTCTCTGGCCTTCAAGATTGAGGATCGCGAGCGAAAAATTGGGACATTGGAGGTGGGTTAGCTGGCAGAGAGTCTTTAGGAAGGGGCAGGCTAGCAAAGATTCTTTAGGAAACATGGCAGCTATTCTATTTCCAGGTGATCCTCAACAACCTCCACTTCGACCCAGCGCCCGGCAAACGCGCCCAGCACCATCTTGAGGGCAAGATCTATTTTGGCGAGGTGAGGGAGAGAGAGAGGGAGAGAGCGAGAGAGAGATGGAAAGAGATATGATTTTTCAATTCCAGAAACGGGTCACAAAACGCCAGGTTCGGATACCTAGCGAGACAGCCAAGGGTCTCCCGATCGGGCATGCCATACGATTTTCGGAGCAGAATCTGAATGACTTGCATGTCAGGTGAGAAAGAGAGAGAGAGAGAGAGAGAGAGAGAGAGAGAGTGCGAGGCAGAGAAAGAGGAAAGCGAGAGAGAGTGAGAGAGAGAAAACTAAGTTTACGAAGCTTTCAGAAGCCTGAAGCTCCAGCTCTGGGAAACTAGCGGTCTCGGCGCCCGGTCACTTGTCGGAAAAGCCGAGCTAAACCCGATTGATCATCGGAGAGGTAGGCGGGCTAGCAATCATTCTTTGGGAAAGCGCAGGCTAGCAGAGATCATTCCCGAACCATTCATCACGATTAAACACTTTCCAGGCCTCTCCGTCACGGAGTCGTGCAGCTGCGAGTTGTGCACCGGCTGGCATCGCATGATCTCCCACAGCACCCACGTCGCCAACGTCGACGTGCCGATGAGCGGCAAGGGCGGGAAAGGATCAGGATGAGGAGAGAGAGCGAGAGAGAAAGAGCGAGAGAAACGGCTACCAAACACTACACTTCACACTGGGTACCCCTTGTATTACATGGCCTCTGTACATTTGCGACAATAAAGTTCATTTTATTTGGCGGAAATTTGTGACAGTATGCACCGATTTTAAGCACCAGGTTTGTGCGTCCAGGGGAGAGCGGTTTAGATTTTGAGCTCGACCTCGGCCCCGGATTGGGTTCTCATGGGGCGGGGCGTCGTCTTGCGTACGTCAATCTTCTGGATGGGCTCTTCGCCGCCTGAAAGAGCTTCGTGATCTCTGCTAGCCTGCCCTTTCCTAAAGAATCTCTGCTAGCCTGCCCTTTCCCAAAGAATCTCGGCTAGCCTGCCCGTTCCTAAAGAATCTCTGCTCACCAAAACCTCCTCGCGGTGCCTCTGTCGGGCTGTCGATGTGCATCTTGAAGGCTTTTTCGACGTCTTCGCGAGAAGGGCTTCTGAAGAACAAAATTGGTAAAATGGAGGGTTTAAAGGAACTGAGAAGGTACCAAGTTGCCTTACCTTTGCATCGACTTGGTCTGTCCATCGCCGGATCGACTGAAGAAAGGTCTTTTTAAGAGTGAGAGAGAGAGAGCGAGAGAGAGAGAGAGAGAAGGAGAGAGAGAGAGAGAGAGCCAAAGAGAGAAACTTACTCCTTGAAGTTGAACCCGCTGCTGGCGTCGCTGTCTCGAGTCCCCCAGTTCGCGCTAGAAAAAGTCGATTTCATTGTAAAGCTTAGCTAAATATCAAACTTATTTGGAGCGACATGAGATATAAGTATCAAAAAATTCACCTTTCTTTGCTTGATATAATTGTTATATATAAAAAAATAGTGTTTGTGTGTGTGTGTGATACTTTGCATGCAACTTCCGTCACCATGTCCGGAGGATATCTCGATAGGGAATAAATTTTAAGGTATATATGATACGTCATTAGATCCGTAATGGCTCTGGGATGACTGCACTCTTATCAGATTTTACAAAACTATTTGTTTTAAATATTAAATTTCAGTTTATATAAAAATTTCGGCCACCCTCTTTGTTAGGAAACAATTAGCATGCACCGGAAGTGGCGGTAGCCTATATAATCAGGTAGAGAGTGTCATTTTTCATTTTTTCTCATCGCAATTCGAAAGAAATATGCAAAGCGAAGAATTTTATGGGGTTAGACGGGGCCAGGGTTGAAAAGTCGCGAAGCAGCTTTTCAACCCTGGTAATTGTTATAAATTTAACTCACCCCTGGCCTCCAGTGTTGTCATTGTTATTATTATTATTATTGTTGCCGTTGCCATTCCAATTTCTAAAAAAATCTAAATCTGGCTTTTTGAGATAATTTATACCCAGAACCGACTCCATTGTTGTTGTCATTATTGTTGTTGTTCCAGTTGGCTCTAAAAAAGTAAAATAAGCGACAAAAACTGGATACAAACCCGCCCGGGCCGTTGTTGTTGTTGTTCCAGTTGTGGCCTCTAAAAATATATGTAAGACGAGAGAAAGAGAGAGAGTGAGCGAGAGAGAGATAGAGACGTACGCCATATGCGAATACGCGCCCACGTTGCACCGATCCGTGGAGCAGCAGCAGAAATGGACCGGAATTCCTTGGAAATTCATCCCGATGCATGAGTCTTGGGCGAGCTGAAATTCCTCAATGATCTTTGCTAGCATACCCCTTCCTAAAGTCTCTCTGCTAGCCTGCCATTTCCTAAAAAATCTCTGCTAGCCTGCCCTTTCCTAAAGAATCTCGGCTAGCCTGCCCTTTCCTAAAGAATCTCTGCTAGCCTGCCCTTTCCTAAAGAATCTCTGCTAGCCTGCCCTTTCCTAAAGAATCTCTGCTAGCCTGCCCTTTCCTAAAGAATCTCTGCTAGCCTGCCCTTTCCTAAAGAATCTCTGCTAGCCTGCCCTTTCCTAAAGAATCTCTGCTAGCCTGCCCTTTCCTAAAGAATCTCTGCTAGCATACCACTTCCTAAAGAATCTCTGCTAGCCTGCCCTTTCCTAAAGAATCTCTGCTAGCCTGTCCTTTCCTAAAGAATCTCTGCTAGCCTGCCCTTTCCTAAAGAATCTCTGCTAGTTTCCTTCGTAAATTTTCCCTCAATTTTAAAGTGACAGCAACATACCATACAGCGCCACCGCGAGCACCCCGCCTTCATCAAGTCGACGAACACGGCCACCTGGGCCGACATATTGTAGCAGAACGCCCCCGAGCCGCAGTCCTCCGTCGTCTCGCCCGTCGAGCCGCCGTTTAGGATTTTATGACCCTAAAATCGTTTTTTTGCTGGATAAACCGATCAAAATTACGTTATAGCATGTCAAGGCTGCAGCCGTGGCTAAAAATAGCGTAACTAGGAGAAGGCGTAGCATCTGAAAATGGGCAGCTGTAGATCGGTAATTTGGGCTTGGGGTTCGGAGGTTAATAACGTCATGAATATGCATCAAGAGGGCCAGAAAGCAGGAGTGAAACGAGGAAAAAAACAAATATAGGTTAGCAGACTAGCATGCTAGCAAAGGCGGTTTGGGATGGAAGGCAAACTAGCAGAGATTCTCTAGGAAAGAGGAGGCTAGCAGGGATTCTTTAGAAGGGGCAGGCTAGCAGAAATTCTTTAGAAAAAGGCAGGCTAGCAGAAATTCTTTAGGAAAGGGCAGGCTAGCAGAGATTCTTTAGGAAAGGGCAGGCTAGCAGAGATTCTTTAGGAAAGGGCAGGCTAGCAGAGATTCTTTAGGAAATGGCCTTTGTACTTCAACGGCCCAAAACAAGAAACAAGATCCTGTTTTCATGGCCCAGGGGCCCCCAACGGAAAATCGAATCGAGCTGGGCAGCTGTTCGATCTGGTGTATTTATCAAAGGGGTCGTAGACGAGAGGGGAGAGCGAGAGAGAGAGAGAGAGAGAGGGAGAGGAAGCGAGAGAGAGGGAGAGACAGAGCCAGAGTACGCCAAAACACCATCAACGAGGCCCAGACTCCACTGGGGGGCCAATTAACACCCGGTGAATCATCGGGCTGAACCGGTTTTTCATAAGCTATTTTCCGGGGGCCCTTGTGATGACGAAAAATCGAGGCAGGCCCGCAGAGATCATTTGCGAAAATTTAGGCCTTGACAGTAATAATAATAATTTATTTATTAAGTGCAGCCGTGAGATCAGAATTCGGGCATCTGGCGCTGGTCGTCAATGAGCCGTTGGTAGGCGTTTTGGACGATAAAGTCGACGTTTTTGCGGGCCATCGGCCGCTGCTCGGGCTCGCGCTCAACGGCTGGCAGTCTGGAAGGATCTTGAAGTGAAAAAAGGGACTTTTAAAGGGACTGGCAAGGCAAAAATTGACCTGCTATCTCGAAACTCACGTGATGACGCTGGCCAGATTGCGGACGAGCTCGGAGTTTAGGCTGGCGGGGGAGGGGAGCGGTTTGAAAGGGGACTCCTGAAAGGGCGGATTCTCAAATGATCTCTGCTAGCCTGCCCTTTCCTAAAGAATCTTTGCTAGCTTGCCCTTTCCGAAAGAATCACTGCTAGCCTGCCCTTTCCCAAATTCTCTCTGCCCCCATTACAGTACTCCATACCTGTCGAGAGACTATCGGCGTGATCGGACTCATCCCGACCCGCGTCTGTGCCCCGAGGGCATTCGTCGCGAGACCCAGACCACCCAGTCGGTCTCCAAAAAGTCGCCTCGCCGTCGCCAGCGCCCTCTCGGCCTCCACCCCAGATAAGTCGTCGATACCGAAGCGCTGAAAAGGCCTAAGCCTTGAAGAGTTGATGCCCCTTGGCCAACTGCTTCAACTGGTCACGCATGGCTGGGGTGGCGCCGATTTGGCGGAGGTAATCTGGAATGGGAGGTTGAGCATAAGCCTAAACCTAAGCCTAAGCCTGAGTCTAAGCCTAAGTCTGAGCCTAAGCTTAAGCCTAAGCCTAAGCCTATGTCTGAGCGTAAGCACAAACAAGAGACTAAGCATAAGCCTAAGCCCAAGTCTGAGCCCAAGCCTAAGCCCAAGCCTACCGACTTTACCTGCAATCTGCGGACTGGGCTGCGATTCTTGGTCCCTCACCTCGGCGACGCGAATCGTGGGATGAGTGCGTTTCTGGAGGTTAAAGGAGCTTGGAAAAGAAATTCTCTATCCGTTTCTCCCTCTCTCTCTCTCTCTCTCTCCCTCTCTCTCACTCACCGGAAACACCAGAATTTGCTGCTGATCCGAATCCGTACGGCCGTCAAAAGCTCTCGGTCGGCTCAGTTGGATCGGCTCGGCAGCAGCGGCCCGGATTACTGTAATTCCCCCCGCTCTACGCCTACACTGACCAAATACAACCTGACTGTCTTGGGTCCCGCAACGGCTGGGGTGATGGTGTCATGAAGATGGGCATGGCAGGGGTTGGCAGCTGAAAATAGCTTGCTAAAGGAGATTTGACAGATACCGCAAAAGCCGGGCTGTTCATGTTGACAATGCTTGGCGAGATGGGGAGGGAGGCGAACTGAAAGCAGGGTGTTTAACGGGGCTTGAAGGTAAAAAAGCCGTAGTGAGTGCTAGCAGAGATACTTTAGGAAATGGCAGGCTAGCAGAGATACTTTAGGAAATGGCAGGCTAGCAGAGATACTTTAGGAAATGGCAGGCTAGCAGAGATTCTTTAGGAAAGGGCAGGCTAGCAGAGATTCTTTAGGAAAGGGCAGGCTAGCAGAGATACTTTAGGAAATGGCAGGCTAGCAGAGATTCTTTAGGAAAGGGCAGGCTAGCAGAGACCATTTTGGAAAGTTCAGCTTACCTGCGATATGGCTGGTGGGAGCCCTCCAAAAGGTAATGGGTTGAACGCCGCTGGCGGAGGTGTCTAAAGGACCGTGACGGTAAGAGAAAGAGAGAGAGAGAGAGAGAGAGAGAGAGAGAGAGCCAGACTCATCCTACCGGTGGCAGCGGGGGCAGCTCGTCCAGCTGCTGCAGGGCCGTCAACCGTTGTATCGTCTCGGAGCGCATCGGACGAATGGCGGGGGCGCTTTCTTCTAAAAAATCGAATGCTCTCTCTTGGTCTCTCTCTGTCTCTCTCTCTCACACTCACCGCAACCCAGCTCTTTTCCGCCAGCGTCGACAAGTCGCGTATTCGTGACGGCCAGCCGACCGCTTGGCGAAGTTTTGACGCGGATGAGGACGCGGACCGGAAGTGGGGTCACGCTGAATGAGGTTGAGGTTAGGGTTAGGCTTAGGCATGACCTACCGTAACGGGATGCGCACCGAATTCCATCCAGGACCCGCGAATTTCCCGTCCTGCACCCAGATCAGCTCCTCGTCGAGCCCCGTCGTCGTCAGGATCGAGATTTGCGAGGATTCGCTAGAAAATGCGGTTTTGAAGGGGCAAGCTATTTGGGCTACAAACTATGAAAAGGGCACCTCGACAAAATGTGGATCTGTAGATGACCATTCTGGGGAATGAGGATCGAGGGCGAGGACAGGGTAGCCACACGCTTGCCCTCGATTACGGCTCGGCCCCGGCCGGCTGTCCAATAGCCGGAAGAACTCCTGAAATGAGGACAGGCTAGCAGAGATTCTTTACGAAAGGGCAGGCCAGCAGAGATTCTTTAGGAAAGGGCAAGCTAGCAGAGATTCTTTAGGAAAGGGCAGACTAGCAGAGATTATTTGAGCAGGAAGGCAAGCTAGCGAGATCATTTTCGAGTCTTACCAGTCGCAAAACGACCCCTCGAATTCGCACGCCAGCGCCGGGCAGCTCTCCTCCTGGCTTCGTCGATTTGCTAGGTATAAGTTTAAAGGATCAAGCAATTCTGGCATTAGGGTAAGTTGCGATCTCTCCCCCTCGATAATGCCAAAGAACCATCATTTTAGGTCTTAAAACACCTACCTGGGGCTCTCCGTACAAAGTCCTCTGAGTGACGATCTTTTCTAAAAGTTGATTGTTGGTTTCTCTCTCACTCTCTCTCTCTCTCCGCTCTCTCTCTCTCTCTCTCTCTCTCTCTCTCTCTCTCTTTCTCTCTCCCTCCCACCTATCAAGGCTGAAGGAGAGCTTTGGATGCAACGCGTCCCTGACCACCCGATCGAAGCGTATATCGTCGAGGGCCACCACGTCGAACGAATTCTGGATGCCGGCAACTTGGAAGACGATCTGAAGCCCCGGATTCCTCATTTTTGTACTACCGTATCGGCTCACCCTCCCTGCGCCTTCTCCTGGAGGGACAACGACCGTCCGCGGGTTCCATTGGAGAAGTCCAACACCGATTACTGTAGCAAAATTTGGGATCGATCTCTTTCTCTCCCTCTCTCTCACTCTCTCTCTTCCTCTATCTCTCTCTCCCTCTCTCTCTCTCTTACCTGAATCGATACATCGTGACGTCCCATCTTCCGAATCGAGGATAATCTGGAAGCAGTGTATGCGAAGACTAAGCCTTAGCCTAAGCCTAAGCTAAGCCTAAGCCTAAGCTAAGCTAAACCCAAGCCTAAGCCTTAGCCTAAGCCTAAGCCTAAGCCTAAACCCAAGCCTAAGCCTTAGCCTAAGCAAAAAAAAAGAAAAAAAACAAAAGAAAAAATAGAAAAGCCTAAGCCTAAGCCCTAAAGCAAAGCCTAAGCCTAAGCCTAAGCCTAAGCCTAAGCTAAGCCTAAGGCGGCTAAGCCTAAGCCGCCAAACCAAGCCTAGCCTAAGCCTAAGCCCGCCCAGCCCACCCCCCCGCCGACCAAAGCGCCCCGCCTAGCCGCCGCCCCCCCCACGCCAAGCCCAAGTGGAGCTAACTAAACATTGATCTTCGTCGAGTGCGTACTCTTCGCGAACAGAAAACGAATCTTCCTCGGCCGGCCGTCAGTAGATGACCAACCACTCCCCGTCACATTTCCTTGACTAACACCACCGAAGCGCCCTTGTGCCGCCACGAACCGGGAATCTGGAGAAAGCAAGGTTGAAGCTAAGATCAGGCTTTTTGTTGCATAGCGTAGCCGGGGAGCACGAACTCTGCTTTAAAAACCTCTCACTTCGAAAGAGCTGCGCTGGCGGTCCGTTGAAGACGTTTGGTATGTAAATACGGTCCGTGACGAACCAGGGGTCATCGACGACAAAAGGACAGGGTGGCGGTCGAAATCATTGAGATCCTGGCCCCAAGCTAGGGGGATCAGCAGGATGAGGATGAGGATCATCGCATACTGGAGAAAGGAGGGTTAGAGAGAGAGCAGGGAGAGGGTGAGAGAGAGTGAGCGTGAGAGAGGGAGTGAGAGGGAGAGGGAGAGGGATAGAGGGATGAGGAGAGGAGAGAGCAGAGAGAAGAGGAAGAGAGAGAGAGTGAGAGAGGAGAGAGAGAGAGAGAGGAAACTAAAGCTCCAATCTCTTTGTTATACTTTAAAAAGCACCCTAGGCGTAATCTTTCCCTCATAAACCCGAAAAAATGACGCGCGTGCCAAAGTAGGCCTCCGGCGCCGGAGGGAGTCTATACAGAGCCATTGTGGGGGATGAGTATTGGCGGGGGGATGAGCTGACCTGACTGGGCATATCCAGTCCTTCCAGCCTACTCAGAGTGCCTATTTTTGGGCTCTGCTTCTCTCTCTCTCTCTCTCTCTCTCTCTCTCTCTCTCGCTCTAGCTCTCTCTCTCTCTCTCCCTCTCGCTCGCATTCTATGGCCTGGGGGAAAGGGGGGACATGCCAATTCAAGCCAGCGATAGTCGGCCTAAAAGGCTGGCTTTCAGTATAGAGAGGAATTCTTGTGGAAAGGAGTCGAATGGAAATTATCGCATGCTAGCAGAGATTCCTTAGGAAAGGGCAGGCTAGCAGAGATTCTTTAGGAAAGGACAGGCTAGCCGAGATTCTTTTGGAAATGGAGAAGCGGCTAGTTTGCATACCAAATCTCGAATATGGTATCGGAAGCCTAGAAGTATGCGTATTCCGCAATCATGATGTGGGTGCTGTGGCTTCTCCTTTTCTTCCTTTGCGCCCTGTTGTTTTGCATGTGCGCCGTGTCGGCCGGTGTCTCTCTCTACCGCTGCTATATGTGGGTCTCGCGTTCTAAAGAATCGCTGCTAGCCTGCTCTTTCTAAAGAACCTCAGCCGCATTTCCATTTTTCAGCGAGCGTCGCCGGATCGCGAACGTGCGCGCCGAGATCGAGGCGTTCGACGCGCTGGTGGAGACGGCGCTCTGATGGACCCGTTCGTCCCCATCGGCGATTTGCCGAAACAAGTCCTCAAGGCCAACTGCACGTGCACGTGGGGTGTCCTAAAGAATATCTACTTAGCCTGCCCTTTCCTCCAAGAATCTCTCGCTAGCCTGCCCTTTTCCTCAAAGAATCTCTGCTAGCCTGCTCCCTTTCCTAAGGGTCGGCTTAGAATCTCTGCTAGCCTGCCCTTTCTAAAGAATCTCTGCTACCATGCTACAATCCTCCTCCGCCCTTTCCCAAGAGAATCTCTGCTAGCCTGCCCTTTCCTCCAATAATCTCCGGTTATCTCACTTCCATTTCCGGGATGAAAAGCCTGCCCCGTCCGAACTTGCAGAACAACTGCCCCGGCTCACCACCCAGCAGCCTCACCTAGGATACGCTTCGCCGATGTACAGATAAGCTCCTAAGCAGATCCCCGGGCAGCTCAAGCTTAAAAAGTCGCCTTCTACCCGCCAAAACATTTGCTGTGCGTGTGCCCGATTCGGATTACTAGGATGAATAAAGTCTCTTTTTAAGCAAAACAAAAAAACAACGTAAGAAATCCAACAAATGCATCTGGAATCACAACAAAATACGAGAAATTGCGTCAAAAATAAGGAATTTCCGGTTGTTGTGAAGCTAACGATCAGATATCCTAAGCCTTACGCATCATCTACCAGGTCGTTGAACTGTCTGTTGCGACGATGGCGGTGTTGGCTAAAACTATCGGATGTTTTTTTTCCCGGAAGGATTGGAGAATCAGAATGTCAAAAAAAGTCAGAATGCAGAAATTCACGAGATCGAGAATTTCCAAGTGTCGGAATCTCAAAATGCCGACATTTTCACAACAAATTGAATTTTACAATAGGACGAGAAATGTAATAATACAGGATTTAATAGTGTTTTTAGGAAAATATTACTGTATTTTAAGCGGAGGAACAAAGAAAACACAAAAAGTTAGAAAGAATCTAGTAAGATAAGTTTTTTCGGTAAAAATGATACACGATTATCGGGGTTATCGTAATTGGAAAAACAATAAAAAAATCACAAAAATTTTAGTCGAGATTTTGTCAAAAAAATCAGATTGTAAGTTTTGATAAAAACTTGTAAATTATCGCTCTCGGAAATAGTGAAGTAAAAAAAACCGCTTAGAAAAACCTTTCCTGCTCAAAATTAGTAAATTAAAAAAATTAGTCAAAAAATTCAATTTAAATTAAAAAGTTGCGCCCCGATATTGCGAAAGGAGCGGGGGTTTAAGAAGTAAGTCTGACGAGCCTTTTAAAATTCTCGCGAAAACGCACTTGACCTGCCACTCAATAGATACGATTCTGGCGGCCGGCCGAAGGTCCGCGGTCCGCTTTTCTGACTGATTTCCTCTTAGCGAACCGTCATGTGAACGGCAGCCTGGCTCTCAACGAGTTGCGGCAGTCGGAAAATCGCTAAATTATGTGGATTACAAAAAAATTCGAGTAAAGGTACATTTTCCGACCCTGGATGGGGCACAAAATGAGAAGTGGTGCTCGAAGATGGGGCACAGTGGCGTTAGATGCTTCAGCGGGAACACTAAGTGCGTGACAGGTGATAGGTGACGCCTGGAAAATAGGGCTATATTTGAAAAAAATTATTTTGGTTCTATTGAGTTATCGGGGAGGGAGCGTATCTTTTTATGGATGCACAAATCCACACACAAATACTGAAAAAATTGAAATTCTAGGAATAGTTATTGTGTTTTAATATAAATATCAAAATTATCAAGTGCTTATCTCTATCTCAGATCCACTCGAAACTTCGGAAGAAATTCGAAATTTTCGGCGGGAAAATATCTGATTCTTAATTTTTGTAATTGAAAATTCAGCTGAACTTTTCAGGCTTTGGCGGAATGGCGTAAATATCGTTAGCAACACATCCACATACATTAAGATAGAAGCTGGTCCCCGAAGAAGATCCAGAGTCAAGAAATCTAAATAAGCAACCTATTCAGGAAAGGCTTAATCTGGAACTCAAAATTAAAAAAGAAATAAAATACCGTACGCATTATCTGAATCCCTTGGCCGATCGCATGGCCAGCGGCATCGTAGCGGGAAGAAGCCAGGATCGAACAGGCTCGTCCGCGTGCATTTCCAGCGACGTCTCGGCCGCGGGTAGAGCACCTGAAAAATGGTGTTAAAAAACTACAAAAAAAAAATTTGAAAAATAGTTTTTCAAGTTTTTTGAAAACCACTCCCCTACCATGGATTCCATGTAGTGCTGCACATCGGAAATCCGGTCATCCTGGCTTAAGCGCTACTTAGAAAGGTTAATTTATCATTTTGAGAGGCAAAAACAGGTGCTTTCTTCATATCAGGGAAGTAACTCTACACGCTATGAATCCAGAAATGTCTGGTAAAGTAATAGTAAGTGTTTTAAGAGTGTTTTTTAGTAATAAGTAGTAAAAATTAGCTATGGTTCAAGCAGAAAACGAATTTTTAAAAGCTCAGAAAAAATTTTTTGTCGAGGATACGGTCGAAAATGAGTGCGTTTTTGGTCCAAAAAATCTATCTTCTTTGTGATTTTCAAGAATTCTTTACGGTTTTTGACGTTCAGGTTTTTAAAAAACAGTGAAAAACACTTCCCACTATTTATATTAGCTAAATTGGATCGTAAATGTAAAGTTGGACCCCTGATATTGTATTTGAACCAGGCTAAAAATTCTCCTATCGAAATATCGGAATTCCGTCTGCTCGCTTTACAGCGTCAGCCAGGAAAGTCGATGTTGGACAGTTTCTAAATTCGGATATAATTAGATTTTTGGACACTGACCGTTCAATAAACTCGGAGACGCCGCTCAGAATCCCTGCTACAAGACATCGGGCAAGCTAAATAGATTCGTTTTCCCGCCGTGATGCGGGAAGTTCATCAGAGGCTACAGTCGAACGGGCCTGAAAAAATATTTTGTTTTGTGACGCCGGAGACGGCACAAGCTGCCTTTCGGAAAAGTTTCTGCCCTCGTCGCATCAACTCCCCCGCCCGTATTCCATGAACGTTCGGTAGGGCTTTCAGTTGCTTCAATATCGCCTCGGCCCCATATCTCGCCCCGAATTCGTCTTCATTCGCTTCTAAACAATGCGCGCCTCCATTTCATTATATCAAATTACCCAAAGGCGATTGCCGAAATCCGCATCATCCAGATGGAGCGTGGCCAGCGCTAGAAACGAAATTCCCGTCTCAAGTATTAGGCACAGAGCGTGGAGGGCCTAAAGTGTAAAATTTCAGGAACAACCGGCAAAACCCACGTCCCCACATTCCAAATGCGCTCGTAGTACGTCCAATTCGCCGCAAAATTCTCCCATCTCAACGCGCAGCTTCTTGGTGTCTTTCAAAAGCAGGAGAGAAGACTGGAAAAAAAGAATTTTGGCAAAAGCTGAGGCAAACTTACATATCGTTCGTTTGTCGGGGTCGGCGAGAAACATTTGGGAGGTTTCTGGGGCTGAGTATTTGGTATTCGGAAGATTTGTTACTTTTTTAAAACTTATTTTATTTTACAGGTTTTGTATCGTAAGCGGTTGCTGGGAGTGCACAAAAACATGGCCTGATCAATAGTGTATCGTTGAGGGCCGTGCGAGGATTTTGCGA